GAGTAAGAAGCTAATCAAAACAGCAGAACAACCCAATAAAGCCATGCATTTGGACTCCAACAAACCTAGTCTTTTTTTTCCCCCACTCAGGCTGTAAGCTTTTGAGTCTCTGCCTTAAGAAACAAAAAAAGTTTTGACTCTAATAAAGTTAGGCTTAAGGATCAAAGAAGGGGAGAGGGAGTTTTCTAAGGGAAAGGAGGTGTCTTGTGTTCTGAAGAACATAATCCAAACACAAATAATTCGGTTAATGACATATTCCTTCTTATCTGCGGGGGCCAGATGGCTAGAAAAGATGGTGGGGCATCTAATCCCTCAAACTTCTTGAAGATGTTTTCTGGGATTGGAGAAAAACAGCCATGGAGTCTGGAGATGTGGCACTCCAGAAGAATCAACGATGGAATGCATATCAATGAAAGAACATCTGCATTCCCAGCTTCAACACCTGGTTCTTCCACGAGGCAGGATTTGAAACTTTTCTACAATTCTGGATCATTCTTGAGCTAAACGTGCTTGGGGCGCGCACATTTTAGATAGAAAGTGCCTGAGCCAGAAGAATAGGTAATTGTTTCATCTAGCCAGACGTAACTTCCTAGTCTTTGTTAGTTAAGGATGGAACTAACAAAGGAAATTCTCCTTTGGGGCTCTTTCGGAGCAAGTAAGAGAGGACATCACAGAGAGTGAGGGAAATAAACCACAGATGGCAATACATCCCACCCTTTCACTACTCTAAAGCAAGTTCAGAAAACTCCAAGAGGATTTGAAAGCATTCTGACCACGAGGCAGAAAAAAGGAATCTTCTTCCACGGATGGAATCCAAGAACTAGTTTTAGGCCTTGGATCTGGTCACTGTATTGTTTTGAATTTCGTTTTGGGGGGGAAAAATGAGGCCATAAATACACTAAATACCCATTCTGTGAAGACCTCAACATGCATTTCCGCGACACTTCTTTATTGTTGACTCCTCAGTAGGTTTGAGTTGTTCAGTTCTTTGGTCTGGATTCTCTTTCGTTTGAACCTCATTCAGAAATGATGAATTTACGGTCTATAAATATTGAACACGGGTTCTCAAACGCCAGGAGCCAGATTGGGAATGTGAAAATGCTTTATTATATAAATATGCCCCTTCTTGGTAGACTCTTGATTTGTGGGCACTTTGTATGCTCGCATGAGACTTACTGATGATCGAAAATGCACCGGGACTGGGCGCGTTCACTGGGTGCCGTCTTGTTCTCAAGCCAAGATAAATGCAATTTTTCCCTATCCTATAATTTTGCAACTGGCCTAAAGGTGGCACTGTTAGCCTTCTCTCTTTTTCATTCTCCCCCACCCCCACCCCCACCCCAGCAACCATTTCTCAGGCAATAATTGTTCCCAAAAAAAGAAGAAACTGGAAAGGAGGGAGGAAGAGGGTGAAAATTTCCAGAGGTTCTTCCAACACATAACCACATACAAGGCTAAGATGTTTGGAGGGTGTTCCCCTCCCCCTGTGGCTTAAACTTTGGGTTGGATTATCAGGGAGGTCTGGAATGAAAAGAAGGGGGTCAAACCAATACCTAAATGGGATCTGTGCTTACTGGTGCCCCAGATAAACATAAATATTCACAGGTAAGTTTTTAAGCCAACGAAGTATTGAGGCACCTACCGGGAGTAGTATGTCTTCTTTGCTATGCCAGATGTATCTGGTTCTGCAAAGAAATTCCTTGCGCTCATTCTTAATACTGTACTGAGTATATTTTGCAACTGGTTCTAATTGGTGGATCTTCAGGTTTTGGCAAAAAAACAACAACACACTTTTCTTATGAGCCTGAAATCTGCCTACTTCTCTGCTGGATTATATCCTTTTAAAGACAAAAGGTATTCAGAAAAACTGTATAAGATGTTAAGGGAGTAAAATAACATATTAAAAGACAATCAGAGTGCAGCAAAGATGCAGGAAACCTTCACGGTTTCGCCCCCTAGTGGCTGTCCGGGGTTTTGCAAATCACAGTACAGAATGTTTGCCCTAAATTGAGTTTTATTTTCTGAGTTCATATTGAGACACCGACCCACAAAGCAACTGGATTGCCTTAGTTCTCTTGACATACTAAACCAACAGAAAGCTTCCCAACATAATCAACTTTTAAGAGGTTGGGCAAATGCAATTACTAGGCTTAACAATGATCGGGTGAAATCTACTGAGTAAACAAGAGGCGCAGGATACGGAAAGTCCTTACACAGTAAAAAAGAACACAGGGCATCAGGGCCTGTTTGCTGCTAGTTCTAGTTAATGCAATTAACCAGAGCATTTCCAGAGTCGCCTCTAACCTCTAATCAGGTTAACCTGGATCGCTAAATTATTTTCTGAGTCCTCGCTGTGCATCGAACCATAAAGAAATCAAAAACGGTGAGGTTGGGAACGGCATGCTTAGTCTGCCACAGCCACAAAATCTCTACCTAAAGTGAACCCTCGGCCAAATTTATTGCCTTGTATAAACGCGATCCTTAAGATTCCCCCCACCACCACTTTTTTCTTCTTCTTCTTCTTCTTCTTCTTCTTCTTCTTCTTCTTCTTCTTCTTCTTCTTCTTCTTCTTCTTCTTCTTCTTCTTCTTCTTCTTCTTCCTTCTTCTTCTTCTTCTTCTTCTTCTTCTTCTTCTTCTTCTTCTTCTTCTTCTTCTTCTTCATCATCATCTGCCGGCCCTCTGCAAACCCGGCCTCCCCCATTGGAAACTTAATCTCCGTTCTGTACCGAAGGCTGGACAATAATAAATAATAAATAATAAGGCGCAGGGGCGGAGTTTTCCCAGGCCTGCCTGCGCTTTTTCCCCTTGTCTAGCTTGCAAAACCGCCAGGAGCTTTCGCGGCTGGAGCCGTGCCACCCCAGCGCTTCCTCCCCACTCTGGGGCTGAGTGTGCATGTGTGCCTGCTTGCCTGCGTGTGTGTGTGTGTGTGTGTGTGTGTGCGTGCGTGCGTGCGCGGCGCAGGAAGCCAGAAGCGCTTTTGGCACGTGCTCTCGCGAGCCGGGAGGGAGGGAGGGAGGGAGGGCAGGGAAAGCCGAGCTTGCAACCCGCGCCCACGAGCGCGCGCGCGCCCCGGCCCGTCTCGCAGGGTGGAGGCACGACAACATTTGGCGGCTGTTTTAGCCTCTGGGGGTGGGAGGGGGGAAAGAAAGAGAGAGAGAGAGAGAAGGCTCCTTGATTGACAGCTGCGAAGGCTGACAGCCAATGGGAAGCCGGCTGGCTTGCAGCCGTGCCCCGATTGGCTGTCAGTCTGGCAGGGCTTCGCGTGCCGGGCAGCTGCTGCTGCTGCTGCTGCTGCTGGTCTTCGCTGTTTCTTTTCATTTTTTTTCCATCCCTCCTTTTTCTTTCTTTCTTTCTTTCTTTTTTCTCCCTTCCCTTGCCGTGTGCGCTTTTACAACAGCTGGAGGGGAAGTGCGGGACAGTCTCCGTCTCGGAGCATCGCGCAGCCCCAAAGGCGGTTTTGGGTTGTTAAGCCTCCCCCACCCACCCACCCCCAACCGACCCCATAGAAGCGGAGCTCTGTGGGGCCCTCCGTGTGCTCCACTTCTGGCTAAACCGGGACGGCGTTGCAAACAGATGTGCAGCGCGGGAGAGGGGGCGCCCGAGATTTCTTTGCTTTGGGAAGCCAATTCCGGGGGGGGGGGGGGTTGGAGCCGAGTAAGGGACTTTTAGCAGAGCAGGAAGTGTCCACCGACTCTCCGATTTTTGCCAGGTATCCCCAGCGTCTATAAATCTAAAGAATGGTTGGGGTCAGAAAGCTGCTGATGGGGAGAAGAGACGGTCCTACAGTTCTACAGAGCCTCCGGGGGTCTCCCACTTGCCCTAGGGCCGAGCGATTCAATGGAGGGAGTGTATTACTTGGGAGTAAACGCGCCGGTTTTTCCCACTGGCGCTAATGTTGAGCGGCCTTTCGCGCCCCTTTGGGTGGGCTCCGGTGGGAAGCAGAAAGATGGTGCTTAGAGCCGGCTGAATCCTCAAGCGACGTTTAGGCTGACCCTGCCAAGGCCTTTAATGGTTGAAAAGCGGACACCTGCCCAGTAGAGAAGCCTAGGTAGGAGTTCCTTCGCGTGGGCAAAAGAGACCCCAAAATACAATCAACTTGCCCACTCGATAAAAATAATAATAATAACAATTGGAACAGAATCCACTACAGGAAAGCCACCGCTGTGCATATCCTAAAATCGGGGTCTTCTCCACTTTCCCCCAATTTCGGGAGAGCCTCTTTCTCTCCAACCCCCCACCCACCCCACCCGCCGCACCCAGCCTTCCTCATTTTGAAGGCACAATCCGGATTCACGCATTCCAGCACGGATGGCGCGGGGTTTTCCTTAACTGGGACACGGAGAGCACGACCCGCCGCGATGCAGGCTTTTGGGGTTGGGGCGGCGGGTCTGGGGAGGAGTGGAGTGGGGGGGGGGCTGGGAGAGATCCGCCTGCTTGGAATGCCCAGGTTCAACCCGAGCTTAGCGATCCATACCTACAGACGTGCACCCAGGTATCTAAGTTCAAGAAGGAGGAGGAGGAGGAGAAGGGGGGGAGGGAAATAGCAAAGCAATAAATTGGAGAGAGAGAGGGGGGGGACGCGAGGGGACAACTCTTGGCGCGTGACTGACAGCTCGCGGGGGCGTCGTCCAATCGGCGAGCCCGACGGGGAGAGTCCCGCTTCCCATTGGCGGACGGGAGTGTGGGAAAGAATGTGGAGAAGGTTTCACACGAATTGGGAGCTGCCGTCGGCTATATAAAGCCAGGGGGGAGCGGCGCGCCGCAGCCAAAGCAACGGGAGCTGCGGAAGCCGGAGCCGGCCGGGAGACGCTCTGCCACTTGCCGGGGCGCGATCGCATTTTTTTTTCCTTTCTTTTTTTTGCAAACGCAGCCCTTGCTTCTCTCCCTCTTGTGGAAGGCGGCCCAGCTCTCGCCCTATTAATCCGGAGAAAGCAGGGCTCCCGTCGGATATACAGTGCCAAGTGATCCGCCTTTTCCTCCGCCGCCTTTCGCCCCCCCCAGCTCTCTTTCGGGCCCCCCCGGTTCTGGGTGAAAGAACGAGGTTACCAAAATGCCAGCAGACACGATGGAAAAACCCACCGCCTCGCCGATTGCCGGAGCGCCGGCCAGCTCCAGCCAAACCCCGGATAAGCCCAAGAGCGCCAGCGAACACCGAAAGGTAATTTTGTTTTTCGCCTCGTTCGGGGAAATTAAAGCCGATTCTACTTGCAGGTCCTGCCTTGCCCTCAAAGGATGGGACTCCTTAAGCGCAGGCACGGATAGATATAGTTCGTTAGCTCCCCTCTTCTCGGTTGACTGATTGACACACACACACACGCACGCACGCACGCACGCACGCACGCACACACACACACACACACATGCACCCAAAGATCTGAGCTTTTTTTCTGCCCGGATTTTCGGCTGCAAGAGGGAGCCGGCAAAAAAAGGGAGGGGGGATGCGCTGGTAGGGAAGGAGTAGGCGAAGAAGAAGAAGAAGAAGAGGGCATTAAGACCGCTAGTAGATCAGGGTGGGAAGGAAGAAGGGCGCAAGCAAGGGGCAGCCTTTGGGTAAAGATTTGTGGAGTTGGAAACTGGGAAACCCACAGCAGCTTAGTGGGATTCCCTCCCACGTTGTCACTTGCAATGCTTTGGACAGAGAAGCTAAGAGGTCCACAAGTTGTTTGCTAACCCGCCCTGAATCTCTTGCCAACAAGGGAATTTTCCCCGGCTGCAGGATCTCCGTTGCAAGGTGTGGGGAGCTCCCCTCCCAACACACTCCTCCTCGTGATGCCTCTTTGGGGTTGCTAACCTTTCTCTCTCCTTTCCTTTCCTCCCAAACAGTCCTCTAAACCAATCATGGAGAAGAGACGGAGGGCCCGGATTAATGAAAGCCTGGGCCAGCTCAAGACACTCATCCTGGATGCGCTGAAGAAAGATGTAAGTTGTTGAGGGAGGGGGACACAGATTGTGTCAGCAACCCTTGAAGCGGGGGGGGGGAGGAGGGAGGAGGAGCCTCGGATCCCTACAGTTTTAGGGGTACCTGAATCAATGTGGTTCAAGGCAGCTCACCTTTCCTCCCCCCCTTTTTTTTCATCTCCTCCAGAGCTCCAGGCATTCCAAGCTAGAGAAAGCAGATATCTTGGAAATGACAGTGAAACATCTGAGGAATCTTCAAAGAGCCCAGATGACAGGTGAGCAGCAAACGGTTTCTTCTCTAGAAAGAAAATAAGGCTTATATAACATGGAAAATCTAGCTGTCGGAGGGGGCCTCTGTTCCCCCCCCACACACAGAGTGTATATGCTCTACTCTTGCTTCAAGCATATACTTCCAACAATCCTCTTAGTATCTCAGCAAGGCAGGGTAGAAACTTGACACACGCCAAAAGGTTTTGTGGTTTAGCAGGATCGGAAGCCATCGTCCTTGATCCAGGGGCCCTGGGGGGGGAAGGGGGTGTGTGGTCCTAGGCCATCCAGAAAAATCCCCAGCTTGACCAGGCCTTCAAGCCAAGATCATCTCCCCCCAAGATCTAAGTCTACATTTAGTAGGAGGGACTCTGACCGGAGAAAGGAAAGCAATTTGTCTCCAAGAGCAAAAAAACAAAACAAAAACGCTTTGGTGGTTTCTAGTCATTAATCCTTCACCTTTTTCTCTCTTGGCAGCTGCTCTGAGTGCTGATCCTACCGTCTTGGGCAAATACCGAGCTGGATTTAATGAGTGTATGAATGAGGTCACTCGTTTCCTCTCCACCTGCGAAGGGGTGAACACAGAGGTCCGCAGCCGGCTCTTGGGCCACCTTTCAAGTTGCCTGGGTCAGATTGTGGCCATGAACTACCCACCGCCGCCACCGCCACCACCTCCCCCTCAGGCCACCGGCGGACCGCCTGCCCATTTGGGACAACCCTTGCATATCCAGTTGCCAGGCCCAGCAGCTGCAGCTGGAGCCATGCCTGGGCCATGCAAACTTAACCCCAGTGACGCTTTGTCCCCCAAAGTCTACGGGGGCTTCCAGCTGGTACCGGCGACCGATGGTCAGTTCGCTTTCCTCATCCCTAGCCCATCCTTCCCGCCGAACGCTGGACCAGTGGTTCCACTCTATGCCAACACAAACATGCCTGTCTCCTGCAACAGTTCCACAGCAACTCCTTCGGTATCACCGGTGCAAGGGCTCACATCTTTTGGGGGCAGCTTAGCGCCCCTTTCTCAAGCAGGGGGAGAACGAGGAGAACGTCATGAGACTGTCTGGAGACCTTGGTGACTTCCCTCTCCCGCCCTTCCCACACACGAACAAAAAATCCCTGACTGTTTTCAACATTGGTTCCGTTGTATGGAACCTGGATCTCTATAGTTTATTTTGTTGGCTGAATTCCTTCACCTTCTCCCCGTCCCCTCCCCCCCAAAAAAACTCATATTTATTCATTTCCAAAGGTTTTGGGATGCCAATTTGTATTTTTCACCCTTTTTTAAAAAAAAAACAGTGATGTGAAATAATTTCTTTTTTAAAAAAAGAAAAAAGTTAGTTTTGTATCAAATATTTGCCATGTACTATGCCAAAGCTTGTTTATGTCTGTCTTGAGACTTTGTTTTTAAAGAATGTTGGAAGATGTTTGTACAAATAAAACTTTCTTGAATTAAAAATGCTGTTGTGTCATGGCCAGAATTAAGAGAGTGGGCAAAAGTTTAAAAAAAAATCAGCAGACTTGGACAAACAGGATTTGATTATCAATGCTGTCTCTCCCTCATTAGGGGCATCACAGATATTATGCAATGGAAGAAGGATGGTAGGCACCGTAAGCAAATCAAGAATGTAGAAAATGTTTTAGATTGGACTACAATGTTCCAGTTACATTATTAAAGGTCCATTTTTTTCATGGGCAAATACAAAATTAGGGTGTGATTATCTCAGAGGCGTTCCTCTCTGTGAAAGAAATGGGTGGGGAGCAGTCTTTCCCAAAGTATGTTATAGTATACTTGCAAAATCTAAAAAGCTTTTTTTTTTGCTTAAACACTACTCAGATTTAATTGGCTACTCTTAAATAGGCTTATATGGGAGAAATTTGCCATACAATGCAATAAATGATGGGCAAGCCATATTTTTTTCCCTAATTTGGCAAGAGCTGCTTCAAACAACTGATAGTGCTTTCATGCTACAGATTCCTCTTTCAAATCACAGAAAAAATCGATTTTCAAGAAAATAAACTTGCTTCCCTTATGTATAATAGAGATGAAAATTAAGTCTTGAGATATTAGCAAGATATCAGGCCAAAGCTTGTGCACTTAGTTAGCTAGCCAAGATTTAAGGAGTCAACTCTCTGTTCTCCTTCCTCAAAATGTTAGTCCCCCAAAACCTCAGCAACTTAAAATGTTCGTTATCAAGCATTAAATGTTAATATGGGGAAAGGAAAAACATATTCATTACTGGAGAATCATTGTGTTAACTATTTCTAACTGAAATTCAGTTAAAATGAAGATTAAATTCAGTTTTGGTCCTTTCAGAGCGCAGCTTCCAAGCGCAATCCTCTAGGCTGCCAACCAGATCTGGCCTGCAAAATTGCAGATGACCATTAGATGGCAGTAAAGATAAATACTAGCACCCCCTATTGGCCATCCCTATTTATGTAATCCAGATCTACTAGATAGAATACTAATTTCAGAATGGGAACTAGGGAAAAACAGTTTTTTTCCCCTAGCATATACATTTAAAAAGGTTTTTTAACTTAAATATTCTTCCATTCTTTCTAGAAAGCGGTTTCTGACTGGGGTCTTAAGCAACAGCTAAATTCTTATAACTGATTTAATCTGGTTATTAAATTAATCCATTTCCCGACAAATAACAAAGGTGCTGTAACCATGCAATATCTTAAGCCACAATACAAGCAAAGTTAAAATAAACCACATTTATCATGTATATTCAGCTACTGTTTTTTTGTCCACTTGGTAAGCATGATGCATGACTGCAGCTGCCTTATTTATACCACTCTACAAAAAAGAGCCAAAAAGAGTCAGTGGCCTTATATGTTATCTTCCTCTGTTTCTCAACGTAGGCACCATGTACCATCTGCAGTTGTGGGGATTAGAGATATTATAGAAATTCTTATTTTCCAGTTGCGAAACATGTAACCTGACAGGCCTGTACTATTTGCCTGGAAGGCTGAGCCAAAATTGCCTTGCCCAGAAGCTCTTTTGCAGTTTTTTTTATCTGAGGTATAGAAAGATGCAAAGCAGCCTAGACAAACTACAGCATTCCCTTATTCTCAGAAAAGTCAGATTTATCTTCTCTATAAGACAGATGCAAGACCTGAAATGGGGATGAAGGGAACCAGTATCCCCTTGGCTGAAGATGGGGGGGGAAAGAACCATCTAGGAAAAAAGGTTTGATTTGACAGGTTGTCCCATTCCCTGTAGCCTCATAATCAAGTATGTGATGTTTGCTTTCTCCTCAGTTGCGAACTTGGTATCAAATGAGCAATTTCTTGAGTTTGGAAAGGAATTGTTTCGGATTGAAGACTTGGGACAGAAGAGAATCTTTGCATTCACACCTTCTACACAAAAGCAGCTATTCTTGTTACCACAATTCAACTAATCCTGTGTCACAGATGAGGTTGGCCGGGCATTATCATGATGATGAATGCCTGCCAGAAAGCAGTTAGATGATTCTCCTTGTCACTTTTTTTTTTCCCCC